AAACAAAGGCAGGACTCGAAGGGTTGTATGCCTAGGTACTAAAAATTAGCACGCATGCAAAGGCATTAAAACTGCCCAAACGTGTAAAAAAAATTAAGCCTTCGGACACTTTTGCGCCTTTTTGCAAAGGCATTGAAATTTAGCACCCCTAGAAAGGCATAAAGTCCTACCTTTTTTGTGTTTCCAGTGTCGTGGTTAGTCGCCAATACTCTCGAATACTCGCGGCTACTTTGAAAAAGGGGGGGGGGGGATTTACCTGCTTTTCTCCTGTTCAACACTTCCAGTCGCCTTACTTGCACGGTGTGACACATCACACTGTGCCCCTTCCTGTTCGTCCTGACAACGGTGCGACAGCGTTGGGCCCGTCCCCGCTCTGCCCACCCTCGCCATTCTGCGTCAAACCTCGCCCAGTCTGGTATGTTTGCGTCCCTATTTGTGGCGCGCACTTGTGCCCCTTCCCACGGGCGCTGTCTGAGGCTCTGGCTGCCCGCAGTTGTAATGATTTCTCGAGATTTACCGACAGGCTGACAGTGCGGGCCTTCCGCCTCAGCGCCCCCGACCTCCGGGACGACTGTCCCGAAATATGTCCGGGGGTATAGTTTTCAAGCCCCTCGTCTTAACAGCGAGCAAACCCTGTTTTACACGTCACCAAGAAGGCCTCCGACACGGGTGTACACTGACGAGAAGTCAAAAGATTGGAAGTGACCGAGATGTGACCGGAAAATGACTGGGTGTGACTACTGGAAAAGTGACTGATCGAAGACGCGCACACTGACTGCACGTCACCGTCACTCTGCCTACCTACGGGGACGACGGGTCAACACCCGGTTCAATACCAGTAAGGCTCTCACTTTTACCCGCGCACCCATCCGCCCGCGGGTAGGAACCGGGTAAATGGGTCATACCGGGTAACTCGGATAACCCCGGACCGCCGGGTTGACCCGGCGGAACCGCGCCCGTAGGTAGGCAATTTTACATACCGGGTCTACCCGGGCTCGGGTTACCCGCTGCTATCCGGTGAGACCAGTTTACCCCGTTTCTACCCGTGGGTTACCCGGGGGGTACCCGCGAACGCGGGTCCGGGTTTTCAGAGCCCTCGTTAATAGTATCCCGACTAGAAGGTATCTGCGAGGACTGCGCCCGGGGGCACACTGTAAATCACAGTGTGATACTGACTGCACATTTTCTGTGATACAGATATATTGCACGATGTTGTGATGATCATCGCAAAAAAGTACAAGATTAAATTCATTGCTTACATTTGTGATAACAATAACTTATTTGAGCGATAGTTCGAGGTATCGTAGTTTTGTGCAATGTGCATCACACTGTTTTGCAATAAATCCAGAATTATCACATTATTTTGCGATAAGTATCACACAATATTTGTGATAAAACTCATCTCTCCCCCAGGAGTGATAAATCAAGGGAATCACACCGGGCATTTTATCACACGAAAATGTGTGAAAAGTATCACACTTTTAATTACAGTGCACGCGCAGTTTAAGGTCCGGCTGACAGGGGGTTGCCCACATATGCGCGCGTGCTGTTCCTCAGCGGGACCACCAGGACTCTCGCTACCCGCGCCCTGTTGTTGGCTGGGCCTAATGCCCCGTCGACCATCGACCCGCAGCCGCGCCCGCAGCTGGCCGCGGCGTGTCCCGTCCAACGCCCCTAAAAAAATCGCTCTGGAGTTTGCATTGCGCCTGCTCTGCGTCGCGTCACACTCGCGGGGTGGCGTTTAGTGGGCGGGGCGGGGCAGGGCGGTCGTGAGAATGAGGTCACCTGCCCGTCTGGTCAGATAGCGCCGGCGGGGGCAGCGGGAGATGGCCGTGCGGGGCTGACCGCCCGACACGTGCGGCACGTGGGGTAGGGGCCTGGGGTCTGGGGCCTGGAGCCCGGCAGTACTACTCGCCGAGTACGCACGACACGCGTCGGACGGTCTCATGTCTGCTCTCGATCGGTTCGCGTTGTCTCGAGGGCTTCTCTTTATTGTGTGTGGCTTGAGCCGACGACACTACTCTCGCTCGCGCTCTCTCACTCGCTCTACGGCAAATGCCACCACTCCGATGAGTTCGTCTAAACTGCCCCCCGCGCTATATTGATGGGGGCTCGCGGCGATTAGATAGCATCGTGAGGGGATTAAAGCGGAGCCAAAGTGGAATCAGACGTTTGGGCCAAGTGCGGCGTAGGAGAGGCTGCCGGCCGCACCCGGCCCGGCGCAAGGGGGAGGGTGCAAGTCACCAGCAAGGACGTAGCCAAACAGCAGTGCTATCCCTCCTTTTGCGAATACCGCACAACCGCCCTGGCGCGTGACGTCACGCTTCAGGGGTTACAATCGCGATACAGTATCACTTAAAATGGATAAGTCAGCTTCTCCCTCCCGTGAGAGCGATATCGATTGGTATCGCTCCTTTAGAGTCACTT